AGAAGCTGTCTCTTATACACATCTAGATGTGTATAAGAGACAGATTGATGACAAACACACACACACACACACACACACACACACACACACACACACACACACACACACACACACCAAAAAAAAAAAAAAAAAGGACACACATAGACACACATACAGACACACAGTGTTCACAACCATCGACGCACATAGTTGGAACCTAAGGAGGCATGAAAAGCAGGGATCGTGCTGAGTACCAAAAGAAATTGAGAAAAGGTGGAGCATGCTCCACCACCACCATAGAGAGGGGAAGGGAGGGTTGAAAGGGAGAAAGAGTTTGGCAAGGGAAGTGCATTCAGACTCGTCTCGATTTCACGTCCAACATGCATACATGCAGATGCTGATGGAAAAGCAACTTCCTCAGAGCAGAATCAGCAACAAGCTTGAGATGGCGCAGTGCGCCCACATAGAAAACTCAGGGATATGGCCGTCAGCCAGGAACTCGGCTGAAGACAACTTGTCAAATCTTGCGGCTGTGGCGCCTGAGCGCCAGTCTGAAATTCCCACCCGGACACTGTATCCACCATCAGACACACTCACACGCACGTACGCACACAACACTTGGATTTACCCTGAATGTCTGCACTCACAAACACTATCTTCTACCTTCTATCTTCTACACACGGGCGGCTATGGCCTCCGTTGTCTTACTCCTCCTAGCAGCTATGGCCGCTTGCCCTCTTCAACCCGGGCTCTCCTGCTGACCACCTGTGACTCAACGCATGAGTCAGCGCTTCCGCGTAGTTTGTCTCAGAATGAGTTCATGACTGATCGCTGCCTCTTTATGTATACTGTTCCGGTTGGTGGTCTGGGCCTGCCCGATGTCCCAGGCCCTCAAGGTGTGCAGTCCCACTCTTGTACTTGCTGCAAAACGGACTGGACTAGGACTGCCTTCTCATGTGCCCCTTTAGAGTTGACTTGGGACTCTTGACCTTTTAGAGATTTGACGGCCTGCCTCTACGAACTTCGAGAGGTCAAGTTGACTCTTCGAGACCTAGCCTACCCACGACCTACTGATCTTTCAGAGGACGTATGGCCAGTTGACCTTTCGAAAGGTCAACTGTAAACTTGCCTTTTCGGGACACCTACAGATGACCCTAAGACTTCTAAACAATAGACCTATGGATTAGATCCACACGACCCATGCTTCACACACAAGGCATTTATACACGGGTTTGGGGACAGGTCGTGGGTTGAAGGCACACGGGGTCAACGAACAACACAAACATACTGTACACTGGGTTGGGGAAAGTCTGAGGATCAATCCCCGATATCTGCATTGGATGAAACAATTTCATTCCCGCCGTCATAAATTCGAGGTCCTCTGAGAACCCTTTAATCCAAGGCAGGACCTTTTCCTTTTCTCCCTCTCTCATAAGCATAGACTACATTTGGGAGTGATTCTGTCCTGGTGGACCATCTGCCGTCCTCAGGTTCCTGGTAAACAAACCTGACTTTGTATTGCTTCTGGGGACGACCTCTACCTCTGGTTCGGAATACATCTTCTTCTATTATTCGGTCTATGTCATATGTGCCATCCATATCTGGCGGAATCATGGATCTCCGCGAAGGAAATTGGTCACAGGTGACACAAGGCAACAACTTTGATGCATGAAAGACCGGATATGTGTGGAGGTGAGTCAGAATCTCTATGGTATATGATGGCCTGTCCTCTCCACCCTTAACTTCTAGGACAGGCCACGACCCTGGTCCTTTGACTTGACCCAGGCTAAATCACCTACTGTGAATGGCGATGGTCTGTGATGCTTATTCACTTGCTCAATCATGCGATGCTGGGTTTTTCTAAGGTTTTCAATCACCATTTTAACTTCCTTCTCGTGCTGCATAGCAAAATCTCTTGTTCCAGGAGGTAACCTTTGAATCTCGTCCCAACTCAGTGCTTCAAACGACCTATGTGGCCTAAAGGACTTATGCAGCTCATTAGAAGTTCTACATGTAGCTAGGTGTACATTGTTGTTGTAGGCACTAGCTACTTTAGGGAGCATCTCGTCCAAATTCACTTGATCAGGTCCAATATACATTCTGAGTAATTGCGGCAAGATCTTATTCATTTGTTCTGCCTGGTCGTTCGTCTTTGGATGATGACTTGACGACGTCAATAACTTAGAGCCGTAGACATTCATGAGATCTTGCCAGTTCCGGCTGGTAAACTGCGTGTCTCTGTCACTAACTATTGACACCGGTATGCCATGCTCACTTACCCAGAAGTAAAAAAACTTCTCTATAACTAACTTTGTCTTTGCCTCTGAGGGCAATGGTGCAAAAACGACATATTTGCTAAATCGATCTATTATGGCCATGACTTGACTTTTCTCATGCCTACTCCCGACCCTGTATCCATGAAGTCAATGAAAACAAATTCTCAAGGTCCTGTCAGGATAAGCAAAGGTCTAAGAAGACCTAGAGGTGCTCTTGTCGTTGCCTTGTTGCGCTGGCAGACTTCGCAACTGCGAATATACTTTATACAGTCTGCTTTCATGTTAGGCCATGTATACGACATCGATAGGTTGGCCAATGTCTTTTGCCAGCCGAAGTGTCCTTCTTTTTCATGGCATTCCCCTAAGAGTAAACTGCGCATCTCTTATTGCTTGTTGTAGATCTATTCCTATGTCCAGATAGTGCACTATTGCCCCAGAGTAATCAACTTTCCTACTTAGGCCATTGGCTACCACTTTATACTTGCCTTTGACGGGTTTCAACTCAAAGTCAAACCGCTCTATCTCTGCTGCCCACCTAATCAATTTGGGCGCCATCTTGGCTTGTGTTTTAAGCCATCTCAGAGTTTGATGATCTGAGCAGACTTTAAAAGTTCCTCCCAAGCAGGTAATGTCTCCAATGATCTAATGTCTGTCTGAGAGCGTAGAGTTATCTCTCATACGTCGAGGATGCTACTTTATCAGGCAGCCTAGCTGACATAAACTCTACGGGTCTATAGCCATTGTCGTCATTCTGCTGTAACACAACGCCTATGCCATATTGGCTTGCATCTGTCGTGACGACGAAGGGTAATGAGCACGGTTGTCACGCGGGGATCCCCGGGGCCCAAGCCGGGGTAGGGGTTTC